GGCACCAATACAGGGTCACTATGAACCACACTCGCCGAAGGAGGCCGTAAGGATTCTCGTGGCTCAAAAAAGGATTTTTCTTGACTTTACTCACATCGGCTGGCTCAATGACTGGTTTGTGTTTGGTATTTTGTTTCTGTTCTCTTTTGTTGACCTTCAGCTTGCTCTCCAATATCTTGTTAGAGCTGTAAAATGCTGGGTTGTTAGTGAGCTTCATTGCTTTACCATTGACTGCAAAATGGCGTTCAACAGCATTCCTGAACCCAAGCAGCGAGGAGCGGCTATACTCTTCACCTTTCTTGTTTCTGGCCTCTGCATAAAACCTCCTCAGGATGTCATTTAGCTCGGCCTCTGTTAGATCCAACAAGGGCTTGCAAATTTTTCGCTCATGGCAGTATTCTGAAAATTGCATCAACAACTCGTAAGTAACTAAAAGTGAAAGTAAGATTATTTCTGTAGATTTCTTTCTCCTTTTCAATATTAGCTGGTTTTTAACGCATATTTTCTTGAAAAAAATGAGCTGACCTACCTTGCAACAGTTTTAATACCCATTTGGTGTTTCTTTTTGTGCCCTTCGCGTTAGCACTTGACACAAGCTCATTCAAGTCTTTTTCTTCGCAAGATGCAAAGCGAGATGAATTTTTCACGTCTTCCTCTATCTTTTCTGCCTCCAGAACTAAATATTCGTCGGCAAGACTATCAGCAAGATTAAATTCAAAGTTTGGTTCCTCTTCTGGTTCCATTGTCGACTTTTATTAGCAAAATAAATTCGCAAAATCACAGTCCTAACGATAAAATCCTACCGGCGAGTCTTCGGTGTTTTCAAAAACATTACGTCATCCATGTGTCCGTCCTCTTATTGATCATAGCTCTCAGCCAATCAGAATGTGTTATTTACGTGAGTTGTTGCAAAGGTGAATAAAAGACGATTGAATGGCTTTAGAGTAGCGTTTGATGATTCTGGCATTCCGACGAATGCGAGTAGGTTCACAGGAGTTTCGTGTTTTTATTCTTCTTTGCCTTGTCTTTGGCTCATAAGTAACTGAAACTTAGAGAAAAACCCGCTAAAAAAGTTGATGGCTGCCTCTAGGTCGTTCTTCCCATCGAGTAGAGTTGAAACAGCGATCTGTGCTGCTCGAACGAGTGTTATTTTGCTATTTTCTCGCTGAATGACTCAGCCAATGCACAAGAACCTTTTTAAGTACTTAATCTTGCTATTTGGAATATTTCTCGACACRTAGCAAGTAAAATCAAATGTAAACAAACTCTATTTTTACGAGTGAAGAACCAAAACAATTCACGATCGTTAGAGTCATAATTATATTCGCATTTATTCATGTTTCTTTCACTTACAATCAACAGAAGTACTTGTGTATGAGTATATTAACTCAGATGAGGCTTTGGAGACACAAAGGCGTGAAAAATTTGCCACTATTCACTAACTAGGCAAATCTTCGAGATGGCGGACTCAAAATTCATGTGATGAACCGCGCGGTCTAAAAGTGAGAGACTGGTGAGAGGGCCGCTCCATTTCTACCAACAATCCTTTTCGCGCGTAGTCATTCGGACAGCTGGAAACGCAGATACGATCGGAAATTATGCAACATCGTCGTCTGCGTATGCGAAAAAAGCCTTTCGAAATCCTGCGTTTTTACTGTAGACCACTCTAATTAATGAATGTCGAAAGTCGGCATTTTTGTGGGCCAGCGTGCCCGACGTGTAATACCATAGATTTTTCTCTTTTAAGTGGAGAGCGTTTTCAAACTGCATTTTCAATAACATAGCTCAGCGATCTCGATGGTTCTAATGTGCACGCCACGCGAAAAAGGCGTCTAAAAGTACGACTTTTTCCAAACGAAAATACAGAAGTGCATTAGTGTGGAAAGGGCCTAAATTATGCACTTTGCTAGCAGGTCATTTCAATCTACTACGGTAGACGGATGTTTAAATGTCTAATAAAAATAATATACATATTTAGGCACTGCCTAAAAGCGGAGCTCTCGAATGTGAATGGAACTGAAAGGTAAAAATAAGACCGGGAAAAAAATCTTCAATTATTTCTTATTAGAGATGAAGATAATTTCTCCCATAATAAATAACCATGCAGTGAAATCGAATCGAAATGCCCTACATTGTTTTTGTTTTGTTTTTGTTTTTTGTTTTTTGTTTGTTTGTTGTTTTTTTTTGCGCGAGTATACTCTCCCACTTAGGAATTTTGTACACAACTCACCCCCACCCCCAGGGGCTAGTTTTGTTCTTAGAAGATTCTTCGACAAAGTTTTCCAAGGCCGACAGTTTTAGGCTTTGAATCTCTCTTACKTAAAAAAMAACAACGAAAGATAGCTACAGATAATCCAATACAATATCAAGTTTAATGAAATTTACCTCGGATGTCTTTCATGGAAATCGAAAATCTGGAGATTTAGGACAAATCAAGACTGAAAAACACAGACTTGAAAACTGGCGGTTAAGGTGAGCAAAAAATAAGGTTTACTATTTAGGTCTTTTACAGTTTTCCAAAAACAAAG